TAGATACGGAGTATGAGAAAGTTGGATTGGAACGTGCTTGTTCATATTATATTTGAGTGAGGATATAAATAATAAAAACATAACCAGAAACAGAAAATTTTATTCAATAAAACTTTATTATTGATTATATTTCAATTGTAAGATAATGCAACGCTGCTTTTTATGTATAAATGTTTGATTAATGTCTCAGTTTACTAAAATTAATATGAATAAATCCAACACGACTTTTGCTCTTTAAGATGACTTTTATAATGAAAAAAAGTGCTTCGTTATCACCACCAAGTTGGGCCATTATAATCATTATCAAGATGTCAGTTTCTAAATTTTGACTTTCGACTCGCCCTGAGTGGATATAAGCAGTTAGCTGTAAACCTGTCCCACTCTCATTCACATTAGATGTGATTATATTTATTTGATCTTTTAACAGCGCGATTAGCTTAGATGTAGAATTCTGAGTACAAGATTTTTCGCTCGTAGGTATTAATTTGGGGTGGGTTTTTTGGTTTGTTGGTTAAATGTTAGTGTGGGTGATTTTATTGTGGACCTTTGCTCTGCAGCTCGATGTGACTGGAATTTTCACGGTCAGATTTAAAAATTAACAACACCTCCATTTGCTGGTTTGGTTCCTGTGTCGGACCGTTACGCCTCAGGGGGGCGTACAGGGGTTCTGGACCTCCTTTTACCTCTTTACAATTTGAAATGTGATTTGGATGTATAATGACGTGAATGTACCGAAGGAGAGTAAATGGGTGTTCTGTTCTGTGTTGTTAAATCATGACCTCTTAAACATGTGTTATCTTTACCGCCGCCTATAATTGGCGGCTGTTTTTCACACAGCCACTAGTTCCCTTGTTCTGGGCCTGTTTTCAGGCTTTAATGTTGCATGAAAGATTTCATGAGCCGGCCTTGCGGGCTGTAAGGGAGCGGAGCAAAGTCCACCTTCGGCTGTTTATGGCCGGGACATGTCTTTACATACGTGCCTCTCTTTTTGTCCTGTTCCTGGTTTATATTTCATGTGGGTCAGGTTTGTTTCTTTATGTGAGGGAGCTCTTTCTAACCAAGTCTGGCTTTTCTGAGCGCTCATACAAACACTTTCACCTGATTTTCAAGTTCAATTACAAGCAGCAGACGTAATCAAGAAAGTTTCAGCCGGGAGTTCAACAGGTCTCGAGTTATTTTATCTCCCGGTTTACATGAACAGACCCTGTTACTGCCTGTATTTATTGACATTAGGCTCATTTTTCCATGGGAAACTTTTGAGCTCATTCTATTACAAATGTTTTTAATATTATTAGTTTTAACATTATCACCCAAAGGAGCATAAATGTAACTATGTGGAGCTGGCCTCAAACGGTGGGGTCCGCATAAGTACAAGTCTTGTGGCAAAATAAACTTAAAGTTCCCTCCAGTCAGTAAAAATCAAGTGTTTGTTCTACGTGAATGGATGTTAAATGCATCTGGAATAGGTTTAAATGTCTGAATGAGGTTTAATTGTCTGGACACCAGAAGGATGTTTTCAGATTCTCCGGCTGAAAAGGGGAAAGTTTTCTCATTGAACGTTCGATTTAACTAAGCTGGGGCTAATTTACATCAGTCATTTGCCTCGCTAATTATTCATTTTAAAAGATGTTTTTTAGAAGATAAGACATATATAGCTCACAATTTTTAGTTAGATAATGGTTAGGTAAAACATATAGCTATATTATTCCAGCTTAATTTTATAGTATAACTAGGTAAGTTTAGGTAACGTTTTGCCGCATGTATATTTCAGAGTAACTAGCTCACTGATGATGGGATTAAAGGGTTAAATTATTACTCGGATTGGAATTTTAAGGGAAACGAGTTGACCTTTCTAAGCCCCCCCATCCTTTTTGCTCTGTGCTCCAATAACAGTTTGAGCTAGATTCAGTACAAGAACCTCTGTCACATATACATACATTACTTAGCTAATCTATTGGCTAAAAGACAACCACATTTTTGAACGATGGCTTAAAGGGGGAACTTTCGGAGATTTTTAACCTAGTCTTGATCACTAGAGGTCACGGAGGTCACACTTCTTGGGGCATCTCCTAAAGAGTGCCTTTTGCTCCTTCTTAACAGACACAACATGTTAATTAAAATGTCTGGTGCAACAATGATCAGGGCCCTTACGTGACAACAACATGGCCTTTTCAACTCATACGTTTTGCCAGAAACAAACGGTCAAAACTAGTACTGATCGCCTACCTGTTTTTCCACCGCTCGATTCACCAAAAGCCCAGGAATAATCGATCACGGAGATAATGCCTTCGCGACGGAAAAAAAGTTTATTTTCCCCTCAAAAATGTCCATTGTCTTCAACACCACTACTTCTGATTTCTCACACTTCCTGCAAACAAATTCTTCTTCGTCGGCGTCTTACCCTTCCACAAGTGAAATCCCACGGGATCTCCAGTCTTTGCTAGAACAATTTCTCGGTCGTTGCTGTTTCCTATCGACAGTACTCGGTGACCCTAGTGTCAAGATAGGGTTAAAAATCTGGCCGAAGTTCCCCTTTAAAAGATAAGATACAGGTATATAATACACTCCCTCAGTGTTAAAACACTGGACCTTTAAGATATTTGATTATTTTACTTGTTAGACATATTAAAGTCAAATCCTCTGATTTAGTCAAACATTTAGTTTCTTATATGAATTTGATTGTTCGTCTCTGTTTCTGCCTCCTGATGCTGCAGTAAAGGCTTGTGGAGTTCTGGTATGGAGGTGACGACCAGAATAGATTCTAATATAAAATGGTAAATAATAAAAAGTTATTTTTATCCTCGTTTCCTCTCAGCGCCGGCTCCACTGCAAAACATCTCTGGGTCAGCTGGGAACTTATCTGCTTTTTATCTCAATATATTTCAGTGAAGAAAGTTAAAGAAAGTTCCCAAACAAAGTTATTAAATATAACTGAACGTAAACATTTCACTGCAACAAAAACCAGTTACAGAACTCCAGTTTGATAGATATGGATTCTGGTCTGTTGACCTATTTCGCTTCCTCAAATTCTGTTCACAAACCATTTTACTGTTATTTCTGGAATA